GCCACCACCTCTGTGCTAGACGGGAGTGTGGGGGAGATGCACTGTTTGCTCATCTAAGAGAACCTTTGGCTCCCTCCTGTGCATCCCACAGATCAGTCACCAGAGAACATGACTCATTTGGGTCACTGTGCCATTTTCATAAGATCTTGATGCTAGTGCTTATTCAGTGGATAAAATATGACTACCCAGGATTTATAATTAAATTCAGAACACTGTGAGGCTGACATCACCTGTGAAATCAAAGATTAAATGGTTGCTTTGTCCTTACCTTGGGCTGCAGTTCTATATTTTCTTGCATGAGTTAAGCACAGAGCGTATTTAGTCTTAACTCGGCCTTGGTTATGACAAACTGACAGAATCCTTGATATTCAAAGTAACTGATGCTAGTAACTAAACCAAACAGCATTAAATATTTCCTTTGTTGTTTGCCTGTGGCTTCTGGCCCTAGGGTGAATGACGTTCTGGGAGCCAGCGTGGTGCAGTTTCGTAATGCAGGTTTTGTGCACTACGCAAAAGTAATTGGTAAATGTTCCTAAATACTTTGCAGATTCAATAAATGATAATAAAGTTACTTTGGAAAAACATTCTATCCCCCTTCGTCACAACCTTTGTTCTTAAAATTTATAAGTAAAATCTTTAAGGTATTACCATGTGCATTAGTTGGCTCAGATCAACCATGCGTGTTCCTATTTCATAGAGCGTGTGTGTGTATATGAATGCATGTGTGTACTGCACCTTTATGGACATGGTCTTTGATTCCCTAGGTAAAACTGCTGGTTTCCTTTCGGTGTTTATGCTGGTTCGGGATAGATGGAGGTAGGTGAAAAGGAACTTGGGATAAAGTGAAAATGAAACCATAATGTATGCTTTTTAAAGCATAAGACAACCTATTTTATTTCTGATTACCTTACTTGCTGCCTAGGATGTAAATGGACCTGTCTCTTACACTATTCTCATCCAAATTATTAGTATTCCTTTTTGTCTTGAGCTTTTTATTTTCAAGTGAAATGAATTTGTATCTCTGTTCCTGTCTCTTCCCACCCCAAAATGCTGGCAGTTGACAAAACCCAGTAGTCCAGGAATTTTGCACTCTAATCTTGAGCTAGGGTGGGTTTTGTATATAGGCTTCTAGAGGTTTGGGCTGAGGGAATTTTTCTGAGGAACAGAGAGAATGGTGGGGAAAGGGTCCTTAAAGCTGGCGCCGTTACTGTGGAAGGAACCTGCTTAGCTCAGGAATTTTGGACTCTGCCGATCACATCCCTGTATTACTGTATATAAGCTGGGCTACTCTTACTCCATACAAATTGTAGCAGGCTGGCCTTAGAAATCTTCGTTGTAAACTTGAACTAGTTCTTTTCCTGGCCACTTCTAGCTGCTCTGGTTGGGATCCTCATTGCTGTGCAGTGAGTGTTCAGAGTCGTCCTAGCAAGTATTGCCTCATGCTGCATAGATTTTTCTGTGAGGGTGCAGTTACAGTAGAGTGACATTGCTGTTTTCCTTGTCATAGCTTCCTTCTCTTACCTCCCTGCTGTAGGTATTTTATAGGAAGGACCCCACTATTACTCGTGTCACAGATATGATACAATTTCCCATTTAGCTTACTAAAATCAGAAGCATTTAAAATGATACAAGTCCAATGAGTAGAAACTACCCCAACCACAGTGGGGATTTTGCTGTTCAGTGTCTAGTTTCTCCTCTAGGGAAGGTACTGCTCTATTCTTCTGTTACTTTATCCACACCAGTGTGGAAGGCCCCTTTATTAGTCTACAAACAGCTGCTGCTCTTTGCAGGCTATTCTTATGGCTAGGGGCTGCTATCATCTCACTAGTGACAGTGAAATTTTGTCCCTAAGGCGATATACTTTTATGCTTGGCAAATGAGAGGGAGACAGGAGAGCCCCCATCCTTAGTTTCACAGTGGGTGCTAAAACTAGCCTCAGCATTAGGTTAAGATCTGAGTACGTTTCCCAGTGCATTCTGGATATTTGTATGCAAATTGTGAAATGCGCTCTTCTCACCCCACCGTAAAAGTTCCCTGTACTAGATACTCACACTGGAATTAGAGAAGAATAGTTTTTTACAGGCCAGGGGAGGAGAAATCATTTTCTACTATGTTGAGATCAATAGAGATACAAGATTCACTCATGTATTGTTAAATTGAAACACGTGTTTTCTTCCATCACAGTAACACAAACTTTTCCTACTGTGTACAATTGTTCACCGGGACTCTAGTCCCACACTAGGGAAAGGGAGAGGAGAAGACAGTGGCAGCAGCAAATAAATTCTTGGCTTAGGATTTTGTTAAATATTCCCCCCTCCCTATCAAGAAAATGTGCAGGGCCTTGACTGACTTCTGCTTCAGTAGAGAAGCAGCCACAATCCGTTTTTTTTTTATTCTTTATTCCCTGATGATGATTCTCCTCATCAGTTCTTACTAATAAGTTACAGTTGGGAAAATATTCTCCTCCCACACTATACATTTGCTCATCTCCATTAGTTTCCACTAAGAATACTGACTCGCATCTTTTGAGTTTGAACCAGTTGTTGCCAACCCTAGCTCTGGCCATTTGGTGGAAGTGATCCAATGAGGGGCACAAACTTGAAGTACAGTTTTGTTGTCATTGGTTTGGAGGCCATGCTTTTGCTCTAAGGTTGATTGTGGATTAGGAAACTGGTAGACTTGCTCCCCCTCCTTAAACTATGTGGAGGCAATCCTGAAGGTGGTGCTGGCCATCTCTCCATGATAGAATGCTTACAGTTGGTAGGGGGGAGACACTACCTTCGTCATTCATTGTAATGTTACTTTTGTACGGTCATCCACATTAGTATTGCCCTCCCCTCCTTTCCAAAACTAAGTGCCTCAGTGGGTTTTACCTTAATGAATTTTCTACCTTGAACCCTTTTTCCTTGCATCTCTCTACATTTGTCTGCTGCATGTCCTCAAGCTGTCATAAAACTAACTACCAAGCATTTTGTATTTTTTAGCTGTAGACTGCTTTACAAAAAAAGTATCAGACTGTGTCCCTCCTTTTACAGAGGGAGAAACTAAGTCTAGAGGAAAGGATGGGGCCTTGATCAGACTCAGAGGTAGGAATAGAACATATAGCACTCCAGTTTCTGTCCACTGGACTGTGTTGCCTACTACAGCAGCAGTTATTCTCAGATAATTGCTCAGGCTGCATTTAGTAAGCACAACCCCTACATGGCCAGAAACAACTTTTGGAAGCTAGCTTTGTTTTTGGTATTTAAAAACAAAATCCACCCTCCAAAGACAGCTGTGCTGCCAAAACAAGTGTAGACATGGCTTTCAGAACTCTTTATTCTAAGGATGAAATCTCATGGGCCTCTCCCTCTGAAATATATGCAGATGAATTATTCCTTTGTATCTGATTCTATGTACATCCCCATATCCAGTAGGTTACAGGGGAGAAATTTTGATATTCTACAGTGGACTGTGGTGATGTGTGAAACAGAAAATAAATCTGTATTTCTCTCCCCTTCAGGAAACTGGGAGAGCAGCTGAAGCTGTGTATGGTTTTAATAAATTGGATAATTTTAGCACTAAGAGGGCAACAGTGGCATTACTTTGAGCCTGGCTGTAGTTGTGCTTGAGAGCTCAGCGAAGGGGGTTCCAAATAAAAGCGAGGTGCATTTTAAACTACGACCAGTTTGCTGTGGGACAGGTACTTCACAGGACTAATGGTTGCAGGTACGGCAGCTATTGAAAGTAACTAACATGTTGGAGCAGGGAGCATTTGAATCGTATGTAGTTGTTCCTGGGTTGGGATAATCACATTTGCTGAGGTTAAACTAGAGCTAGGTTAATAACTATTTAGCTGGAAAATTAAAACTCCACCCAGCTTGGAACATGTCAGTACAGCTACCACTGTCTACAGCAACTGAACACTTGATACAGTCCATGTTCTTTGCTTTGCAAAGGATTTTCTATCATTTTAATTTATCCTTTCCCCCAATTACAGTTGACCCTCTTTAGGTCCCATAGGCCGAGTGCAGCGACTATACATTTGTTCCCTTGCAGCTAGTGGCCTGAGGGAGTTTTGATGCCTAATTAAAATTTGCATCAAAAGCAGCTGCTGATTTCCTTGCTCTAGCTGCTGGAAAAGTGAATGGTCAGAGCAGGTGCAATCATTGCTATGCAGCTGGGGATCTCTCCTATACTCTTGGTTTTCTGACTAAACAGTAGTAAGCCCTCTTCGTCTTCGAACAGTAAAGTCCCACTCAGCCTAAAAGACAGCCCCTTGGTTTGTTATACAAGCAGCAAAATTTAATGGTGTATTTACAATCTTCCTCTATGCTTCCATTCCAGTAGGTTCCCAGAAATGTAGTTAGCTGCCTTCACATCTTTGAGCAACTCACTTTTTTTTTAAATGTTTCTTTTAACAGGCAAGTGCAGCACCTGGGGGTGGTGGGTAATAAACTGTGCCATTTGGTTAATTCAGATATTGTTTCCACAGTGTTAAAGTTCTCTCCAGCTCCAACAGTCTAGAAGTGAAAGGTTATGTACATTTTTTCCTTCCCCCCAAATGGGATGCTGCTGTAAGACCATAGCCCCAGCTTGCACTTTAATAAATGGTACAGTTTTCAAAACCAATGTGTGGACCTATTCTTATGCTAGTTCCCTTCTGTCATCCTCTGCATCACCCCAAAGGCATTCCAGTAATCCAAATCCTTGAGCTAACAGCATGCTATTTAACTGAGGTAATAGTGCAGTCTGTGGTAGACAACCCCTTTAGATTACTTCTCTCTCAGTGCTGGGCACACAGCAAAATCCAGCTAGCCACATCCTCCCACCACCCTTTCAGCTCCAGTAAAGGAAAAGGCTCATTTAGCTTCTTGGCTGCTGAATTTTATAAAGTGATTCCATTTCAGAGGGACAGCAGAAACCTTTTTAAAAAAAAATGGGGCTAAACTTTCAAGGATAATGGAATTCAGTTTTTTTAAAGCACTTCCTTGCACCCCCAGTTTGAAAATGGACAACAGTTGCATTTACAATTTTATTAAGTATAAAATATTTACAGGTAATGCAAGAAACAGCAATTCAGAGTTCAGTTCATGTAAAGTGTCACATGGAGACTACATTCCTGGTAGGCCTACCAGACATGAGTTAATGTTGAGAGAGGATCAAAGTTGCCAGCCTCTGAGGCACTGACTACAGGGAGGGACCTATTGAGTGGAAATTAAAGCTAGTGTGTGTTATGCTCAAGTATGCCCAGATGAATGTTATCTGACTTGATCACATCACTCAATTCTGTTGCTTTTTGCACATGTAAATCAGACATCAGCCAGAGGCTTAAAAAAATAATTTGGGGAGGGCAGGCAGGGTTTACTCCCCCACTACTGTGCCTAGGGAAAAAACCCTGAGCATACAGTTTGCTCAAGAAGGGCTCTCCCCAGCCTGTAGTGAAGGCACACCACTCAGAGTTAGGTGGTTGCCTCCAAACCAGGCTAGTAGCTAAAGCACTCAGAGTAGGGAGTGAATTTTTCACTCCTATGTCTGTTACCCTACCCCAGGTGTAAACAATTCCTCCATTGACCTAGCCACTGCTGCTAAGAGGGGGATTACCTATCATGATGGGGGGGATGCTTGTTGGCAGAAGAGGCTACACTAGCATAATGGGCACAGTAGAAACCTCTACTTTTACTTGCAATGGTAACCAACCCATTTTGCAGTGAGGCTAGATCACTTGCAGTTGATAGGGAAAACTGTGGGACAGTATTAGAGGATTGTGCTCAGAAAGACTAGAGGGGCTCAGCTTACTGCAGCACAAAAGAACCACTGGCTATGCCTCCAGAAGACAGAGCACAGCTTTGAAGTAGAGGTGTGCCATCACACCTGGACTAGGCCAATACCACTATTGATCTCATGCATTAACCTTGCAGGGAAGACACACCCTAACAGGTTGCAGGCTCACTGCCAACGGATCCTATCCTCAGTGCATGGGCTAAAGTTTCAGTAAACACACCTGAGTGCACTGCCAACTGGCACTTCCTCTTAAATCATACAGGTCTGCACCAGCACCAAGTCACATTCAATATTTGATAGAAGAAAGTAACAGGCAAGCAATACTCCTACGTGTGTCTGCTGAACAATCGCACAGCTTGAACATTTCTCCTGTACTGATCTCTGAAAAACCTAAAACATAACTAGGGGGTTGTGCTTCCCCCTTCACAGCTGCATTGGAAAGAATTTAAATGAGGAAAAAAAGCAAAGTTTTAATGTTTAAAGTAAATACTCAAAAAGCAATCTTCTCCACAGAAGTCAATGGAACTGGCTCCGCTCTCATTCAACTCTAGAAGGGACACATAGAACAAGGGTTAGCAAAGGCAACAAGCCAAGACAGTATACATATTCTTAGTGAAATCCCTGTCATTCTTCCCTGAGAGGGAGAGCATGAATGTGTAAGGAGGAAGGGTCTGACACTCTCCCACATTCATCACCAGGACAATGGAGAGATTTTAAAAAGGAGCTCCTGGAGAGGAATTTGCCCCTCAACCTACTGTTTATGTTTACAGTCTAGCTGTTTTTAATGACCACCGCCCCATTTCTGTATTCATAGCATCATCCCTTGTGGCCCTTCTGGGAAATTGGTGCTATTTATGACTCCACCTGCCAGATTTCTGTCATTCTAAGGCCTGATGTACATTTAAAAGTTTTGCCAGCATAAAGTTGTTGATTAGAGGTGACCCAAAAAAAAATCACCCCTATTGCTGCACAGATGCAGCTATACTGGCAAAAAAAAAAAGTGTCCTTTTGCTAGTATCGCTTATTTCATATGGGGAACTGGTATAAGCTATATCGGTCAGAGTTCTTTTGCCAATAAGAGCTGGGTCTATACTAGAAAGGGTTTGCTGGTATAGCTACACTGTATAGTGTAGGCAAGACTTAAGTGTCAGCCAGGGAGCTAAAGGCTGGTTCTCATGGCAGGAGCCCCCCACAGTAGTCCCACCCAGACACCTTCTCTTCACATCTAAATCTTGGGGATTGGCCAGTTCCCAAGGCAATACACACCTGGGGATCTGTTTCTGCAGTATTAACCTGTAAGAACTGGCTCTGTTGCACACTCTCTACCATAAGCAGCCCCAAGCAGTGCATTAAAGTTTGAGTCACCTGAGAATAGGGTGACCAGATAGCAAGTGTAAAACATCAGGACAGGGAGTGGGGGGTAATAGGAGCCTATATAAGAAAAAGCCCCCAAAATCGGGACTGTCCCTATAAAATCGGGACATCTGGTCACCCTACCTGAGAAGTGTCACTCATTTGGCCTTGTGCCACCACTCAAGATAGGCAGGCATTGGTAACACGTATCAGTCAGTTTTCAGACACAATTATTGTAGCCAACACGGTCTACACCATTTGCTAGAACAGCTATGGTCGAAATCCTGACTCCACTGCACAGCCTGAGTAACGGGACTGTGCAATGAGGATCCTCTCCCCCCAGGCTGAGCAGCTGTTCTGGAGCCATTGCACTATGTCCCATAGCTCATGTGCCCTCCTGTGTTTGTGCAGGAGGAGAGAGAAGAGCTTGTGGATCTAAATAATTCCAGAAATGCTACCTCTGCAGACTAGGATGCAGCTCAGCTCTACAATGCAGACAGTGCTGACCACCTCTCAAGAATACTCCATCACCTTCTGCAGTGAAATGACACTGCTCCCTTTGCTCTCAGATACTTCCATGTCTGCAGACTTGGGGGGGGGGCAAGTTTGCCCATGTCAATGCACCATCAGTGCCAAGGTTTCAAATACCCAGTGGTACACTATGGGCAAATTAGTTATTTAACATTTTGCCTGTCCATTTTGTAAAGGCAATTCCTTATGTATCAGAGGCCAGCTGCCTTTTCAGTAACAGCTTGGTTTAGCCCTAACTTTCTATATCTCCAGCTTTGAAAACACCACCACCTCCTCAGGACACTTTAACCTGTGACCCCTCAACTACAGATCTTGGCTCACTGTCACTCCAGCTGTGTGTTAGCTCCACACACAGAAAAGAAGAATGGGGTCTCTTTACTATTTAAACATTTCCCCATTCTCTCACTGTAGCTGTCCCTGTGGCACTAAAATTACCTTAACCTCTTAGAGTGGTGGTTTCAGGTGGGGAACAGAGAGAGAAGGGGAACCCAGTAGGACAGAAATGGGTGCAGAGACAAGTGGAACATGATCAGAATTGGGGCTCAGTCTGGGCAACTACCTTCTTTGCCCTGGAGGAACTGATCACTCCTGGGCCCATCCATTCCACATCCAGGAGAAGCTGCTGTGAGCAACATGTGACTTACTATTCACACACTCCCTTGCCTACAGGGACAATCTGTGCTGGAAGAGGTCAACCTTTGGATTTGAACTCAGGGAGCGAGTGGGTGGAGCTTTCTCACACAGCTCCCCCCCAAGCTCCCCTTGGCCAGACTCATCCCACAACAGGATTAGTACCTAAACAGAGTGGGACTCCTGCTCCTACTGCAAAGCCTTAAGTGGCTATAAGGTAGTAAAGAGACCACTGATTCTATAGGAATATAGATAGCAATTAGAGATGGAGGGAGCTCTGCTAGATAACATATAATCCCAGTCCCATCCCCAGCCAGGATTATTCCCTATACTGCTTTGCCCAGTCCCGAGTTAGCAGCCTGCTGCCACTTTTCTTGGGAGACTTCCACAGCTTAAGAGACAGTTTGATGATTCTTACTTGTTATCCCAGGTTGATGACGTAATTGTGGAGGTTCTGGTTGATGTAATTCACAGTGGTGTTAAAGACACGGTGTAGAAGGGATGGCATTTTGTTTGCTACTGTTCTGGCTAAAACCATTGCTAGCACCAACATGGCTTTCTCCCGATCCATTTCCAAAGGTACGGTTCTCATGAGCCCCTCCACTGTATTAGACAGACGCCTCATTATCTCCTGAACAGAGGGGAGAGAAAAAATACAGTAAGTCTCTCTAAATATCCCACTACAGCCTGTAAGAGTGACAAAACATTCACCCACCCAACTGCCCCAAAACGCTGCTACAATCCCTTCAACTCAGAAGCACACATGGACTCATACTGGGTGGCGTTTCACACCTTGAGTGGCTTTTATGCAACGGGGGTCACCGTCGTGAACCACAGGATTTACACAGGACAGAAGTTACATATAGTGCTGGTAAATTTAAATCTATCTTTACAAACATGTAGTGAGATGTGCTCCCTGCCCTGAAGAGCTTACGCACACATTGCCAGATCCTGAAAGGTGCTGAGTGCCCTCCCACTGGACTGGGCCCTAGATTAGACAAGACAAAGACCCAGGACAACAGAGCGGGTGATGGAGGGTATTGATGAGAAATTAATCCAGATGCTGCTCTGGATCAGTGAAAAATACATATATCCCCAGCAACACAATCTAGATCAGTGCTGGGCAACCTGCAGCCCGCAGATTGCCCACCACTGATCTAGATGCTCCACAAACTAAGATGCGTAACTACTCTAAGCAACGCACAAAAAGCTTATCTAGTCCCAAGCAAAAAAAGGTGCATGTCTCTCCCTCCTATATTGCTGGAGTTTAAAAGTTTTACGCCAAGGTCATAAATCGGAGGCCTAACAAGGTCCTGAGCACTCTCAGCTGCCACTGAAGGTCAGTGGGAATTGTGGCTACTCAGAGTCTTTCAGGACCAGACCGTTAGATTTTATACAACAAGGGGTTTTATTATATGAATAGACAGATTGTTTAAAATAATCCAGCATTGTCTACCACGCGCCACTTGCTGAGAGTTTGACTCTGGAGCATAATAGATCACACACTGCATTTGCCTGTAACTTGCACAGAGATGCTTGGGAAACATATCCTGGGCAAGAGTGGACGGGCGCCAAAATGCCACACTTACCTGAAGATAATGGAGAGCTCCAAGGAGGTGAACAAAACTGACTAGCAGATCTAGATCTCGGTCCTTCTGAGAGGAAGGATGGTTTATGGCTAAAGCACATGAGTGGAGTTGGAAGAGCTAGTCTATATTCCTTCCTCTAAGGGTTTTCTGCAACATCCAACACACTAGTATCTAAGCGTTGCTGAGTTTCTGCAACTGATAGTATTACTTAAGCACCAGTGTACATGAAACAGCTGAGAGTCTTACACTCTTAACAAATGCACAAGGTTCACTGTTAGCTAAGTCACTTTGGCTTCTGCAGTGTAGATGTGCCCTAACTAAACCAAAAAACCCCACAAACCCACAGCAGCGAGTCTCAGAGCCCTGATCTTCAGGCTAAAATGGCAGTGGAGTGGAGATGTTCCTGCTCAGGCTGGAGCCCTGGCTCTGAAACCTGACGACAGGGGTGGCTCTAAGAGCCCGGACTCCAGTCCAAGCAGGAATGTCTATGCTGCTATTTTTAGCCCTATAGTGTGAGCCCCAGACAGTTGATTCAGACCCTGAGACTCGCCGCTGTGGGTTTTTTGGCAGTGATTTTTGGCCTGATTTTCAGGAGGTGCTGAGTCCTTGCAACTCCCACTGATGTCAGTGGCCACAGAGTGCTAAGCACATCTGAAAGTCAGGCCCTTACCCTATCTGTGCCTCAGCTTCCCCACTGCAAGATGGGGATGACAACACTGCTGGACCTACCTCTCAAGGGGGTGTGAAGCTGATGTAATGTTTTCTGGGATCTTTACATGGAAGGTGCATGCAAAGGATGGATTCTTGACCTGGTCATGCTGAAAGCAACAAACTACCTAAAATAACAATCCAGGCAACTCTCCATTCTTGCTGATCACATCCAGAGGGATCGGTTACATTTTCGTCTTTCTTTAGTTATTGCTAATCAGCTGAATTCCTCACTTACCTCTTTGGACAGATTCTCATTCACAAATTGCTGCACTAGATCATTTACTACTCTCTGATCGATCTCCCTAGCCACTTGGTCCCCGATCTCAGCAAGCCGAGCTCCGATGAGCTGGAAAATGGCCTCATCAACCACAGAACCTAATTCCAGCAAAATAAAGAGATGGTTTTAAACAGGATTTTGTTCACACACAGACATGACCAAATCTAGGTCCAGTGCAGGTGTACAACAGGCTCAAGTACCCCAAAAGCGCTCTCACTGTCATCTGCGCACAGCAGCTCTTCCCACAAAGTGTTCAAAACTACTACATGCCTCAGGGATCATTCCACTCATCACTGACATGCAGCCACCTCTGAGGTGGAACACGATAGCCCGGAATGGAGAGCAGAATGTCCAGCAGCACTACACAATAGCTCAGGAGAAACGTTATCTCACCCAAATGATACTTCAGGGGGAATTTAAAATATAGCTACTGAAATGAAATTTGGCCAGGCCACTGTGGTAACACCCTCATCCTGGAGGGTAAAAAAGCCATGTGATCTTTCACAACCATGGTCAGGACCTCTTACATCTCATCTAGAATACAGCATCTCTATTACCAGAGCCACCTCTGACACCATCCTGGGGCCATTAGTTCAATACCGATTTGGAGGGCAGAGTGCCACCTACTATAAACACCTGGATTTATCTGAGAGATTACCCATCCAAGAGTAGTTAAGCAGGCCCAGGCCTGCTTAGCCTATGAGACTGGATGAGGTCACAGCCCAAGGTGGTATAGCAATGCCCCTGGGGGCACTACACTGTAGATAACAGTCAGTACTACTCCTATTGCATCAGCCAGCGTTGGATACTGTTTTCCCATCACATAGGCAAAGCAAAATGTGGTGAATTTCAGCCCAAATAGCAGAGATATGAGTTGTTCCTAAAGTCCCAGTCCTAAACTAGCTAACAGGTGCCAAGTATCTAAACACTTTCTAAAACTCAAGGCCTAACAAAGTAGACTGGAGTTTGGGGCTCCATTAAGGCAAACTGCAAGGGTGTGGAAGAAAAGGCATCTAGGTACTATGGTGACGAGTGCTCCAGAAATACCTAGACAGGTAAGATAAGGTGCTAAGCATCAGCTGTACCATCCGAACTGAGAAAGCCCAATTTGTTAATGTCAAGAGCCACAGCACAGCAATATTCCACAGAGAAAATACTCCCTGTACCATTCTGCTACAGAAGAGTTCAGCTTCAGAATGGTGGGATAAGGGAAGGAGGAGAGTACTTACCTGGCTCACCATTCTGGAACCGGCCACTCCGATTCCCATCTGTTTGAAGCTCCCCATCATCAAACTCAACAGAGAGGAAGTTTTTTGATGGGGAAACCATCACCTCGCTTCTCAGAGAATCCAGCTCTTTGCTGAAATCACAGTTGTGACAGTTCTTCAGAAAGGAATACACGAGGATGCGCTCCACCTGTACATCGCCATGCAGACCCTAAAAATAAGCACCAATAAGTCATCATGAATCTGACAGCCAACAAGACACTCCTGCCTGAGAGGACTGTTTTCCACTACTGTCTCTCTATTGTGGACCTCCTCCAGGAGCCTGAAATAATATTAACCAAAGAGGTTGCATGACTGCATTCGGATTGTCATGGCTTTGTTTATGTGTAGGACCTACAGAAAGTGCTGCATGATTTTTGTTTTTACTAATCCAGTGGTGGAAGGATTAATTTAAGATGCTCCATGTATTTCAAGCTGCAGTTTAAAACTACCATTTTAAAACATGTACTTACACAAACTTCAGACCATAAGCCTGTTACCTTGAATTTATTCTATTTCCCGTTATAAATATAAGCAACTGATGTCCATTTACCACTTAAAAATAAGCAATGTGAGATATTAACCAGGGGAGGGTTCTCACACCAAAAAAGATACAGACTCTTCAAAAGTTAAGAGCACATCTTTCATCTCACTGTTTGACTGAGACCCAGACAAGGTCAATAATGACCATGTTCAGCTAGCATCAGAAAGAGAGCATTCAGCTGGAGTCTGATCTCAGATATGCAGGCACACCCATCCATACAGACTGGGGAATGAGCTGCCTGTATGGGTGGCAGCGTGTTGGCAGAAAGTCCAAGCTGTACAGAAACGTGGTGCCTGCATACCCAAACTTGCACAGGGACTAGGAACCAAAATGAGTTCAGACTGAGCATCCCCCAAATTATTAAATGTTAAAGACTACACTTTTTTTGGCCTATATTTTAAAAAGCGACTAAAGTTGAGCACCCAAAATCACTAGATACCTCAAAAGAGGCCTGATTTTCAGAGGGTCGGGGCAGAGGTAAATCACACCCCTTAAGCTGGGCACACAAGATCACCAGTCACTTCTGAAAATTTAAACTTACAGAATTTTGAAACAAAAAACCTTTTGGAACTGACCTGATCCATGCTGGCTGCTGGGCCGGTGCAGCTGTGTCACCCTTAGCTTTCAACCCACGAGTCCTTTCCTTGCAAGGGAACAAAAGGAAGATGCCAATAAGCCTGCAAGCCACTTTGTCCCAGAGATTCTCCTCGTCAAGCCCTTACTGATCCAGCCCTGCTTTGCGGAGCATGGGCTTTCCCCAGGAACACAGGCTTGGTGATTTGGCAGTCATAGGGAAGGCTGTGAACACTGGACCAGATGAGCAAGTAGGCCCCTTTTTAGGAGTGAAGAGGGATGGGATAGGAGGACACAATGCCTCCCCTCACTGGTAGCTCCACCTTCCTGCTTTATGAATAGGCATGATAATGGAGAGGCGGGGGAGGGGGGTGGGCTGACAATCACCATGACAGCAAGTGACCTGGAAAGGAACAGGGGCTTCTGCCTTAGGTGGGGCCAGCTGTTGGAATGGAGAGCAAGTTTAGCTCCAGGTGGACCTCTGGCCTGGCTAGTGAAGGATCCAAGATGCCCTGATCATAGGCGCCGACTCCATGGGTGCTCCGGGGCTGGAGCACCCATGGGGAAAAATTGGTGGGTGCTCTGCACCCACCGGCAGCTCCCCGCCCAAGCTCACCTCCACCTCCACTCCGCCTCCTCCCCTGAGCGCAACACCGTGTCCTGCTTCTCCCCCATCCCCTCCCAGCGCTTGTGCTGCAAAACAGCTGTTTCGCAAGGCAAGCCTGGGAGGGAGGAGGAGGAATACGGCACGACCTGGGGGAGGAAGCGGGGCTGGGCGGGGATTTGGGAACGGGTCCAATAGGGACAGGGAGGGGCAGAGTTAGGGCGGGGACTTTGGGGCAGGGGTGGAGTCGGGGCGGGGTCACAAGCACACAGTGGCACAGAAAAAAGTTGGCACCTGTGGCCCTGATTACCAAGTCATTTGGTTCGTGGTAAGGGTATTTTGGTAGCCTCCTGCCTTTAGCTGTGGGACACTCCTGTTCATTTATAAGTGAACCAGCCTGAGCCAGTCACCCTTGCACTGCCCCGGGGGAGTACCTAACACACAGCCTGCCCCCTAGGTGTACAGGAAATAACCCAGTTCAAGTACCTGGTGTTGTCGAGAGTCAAGCTGTTTGTATCCTGCCAAAGGCCTCCAATCACGTTTAATAAAAGCTCCTTAGCACAGCCATGCCACTGCTACAATTCCAGGAAAACCTAGAGGGGGAACATGAGCAATCAGTCACAAACAAACCATTTTCAGAAAAAACAACGAGGAGTCCTTGTGGCACCTTAGAGACTAACAAATCTATGTGGGCATAAGCTTTCGTGGGCCAAAACCCACTTCATCAGATGCATGGAGTGGGAAAAAAAACCAGTAAGTAGAATATATATTATAGCACATGGAAAGATGGGAGTTGCCTTACCAAGTGACAGGTTTCAGAGTAGCAGCCGTGTTAGTCTGTATCCGCAAAAAGAACAGGAGTACTTGTGGCACCTTAGAGACTAACAAATTTATTAGAGCATAAGCTTTCGTGGACTACAGCCCACTTCTTCGGATGCATACCGAAGAATTCCACTCTGTATGCATCTGAAGAAGTGGGCTGTAGTCCACGAAAGCTTATGCTCTAATAAATTTGTTAGTCTCTAAGGTGCCACAAGTACTCCTGTTCTTCTTACCAAGTGAGTGGTCAGTGCTAACGAGGCCAATTCAATTAAAGTGGAAGTGGCCTATTCTCAACAGTTGACAAGAGGGGTGAATACCAAGGGTGGGAAAATTACTTTTGTAGTGCTAATGAGGCCAATGCAATCAAGGTGGCCCATTTCCAACAGTTGACAAGAAGGTGTGAGTCTTAGCAGAGGGAAAATTACTTTTTGTAGTGACCCATCCACTCCCAGTCTTTATTCAGACCTAATTTGATGGTGTCCAGTTTGCAAATTAATTCCAGTTCTGCAGTTTCTCGTTGGAGTCTGTTTTTGAAGTTTTTTTGTTGAAGAACTGCCACTTTTAAGTCTGTTATTGAGCGTCCAGGGAGACTGAAGTGTTCTCCTACTGGTTTTTGAATGTTACAATTCTTGAGAATTTCAGAAAGGCAGACTCACAAATGCCTGGAGCTCCCTCTGCTGGAACAGGGGGGCTTCTACTTAGTTTTTTGAAGGAATTTAGTTCAGGTGAATAGTGCCAAACGCAGAGCTCTGAACTCTGCTCTCTGCCCAAAGAGAGGATACTGTGTGGGCTTCAGTGTTGCAAGCTGGCCCCACATCCCAGCCCATGTACACCAAACCTGACCTGGATGGGCCCAGCTGTAAGGGGAGACAGGAGTTTCATCTCCAACTCCACTAACTCCTTGGGGTCTCTGTGCTGAGGGTGCCAGCTGCAGTGGTGGTTTTTTTGTTTATTTGTTTTGCAATGTGGACACTAGTTCACCCAGGATGGGCTGAGGGCACCAAGACACTTCTGATGTGATCTTCCAGTCACCACTGACCGGCACTAGCTTTAAACTTTCCGCCACTCCATAACACTTTCTCACATCTGTCCTGGCCCCTGTTGGAACAGTTTAAGGTGGTGAACAAAACTCTGCATTAAAATGACTCAGAGTGCAGGTGGAAAAGAGGAAGTTAAAAAAAAAACAGAAACTTACAAACTTCAAGCTCAGATGCAAGCCACAAGAAGACACAAACTGTTCAGGAAAGAAAAGGTATTTCCCAGCTTTTTGGAGGGATTTTACAGATTTGTGATTTCAAAAAAAACAAAAAACCCCACATACAAATACTTGGGCAGCAGTTCTTTTATCCATGATTTCTCAGAATTTACTTGGTTCCATCTAACAGCCACACATTAACCAATTAGATCTCAGAAAAAATTGGGGCCCTCCATCAGACCACTGGTCCATCTAGTTCAACACCCTGTCTCAGTCAGTGACCCACAACATATGTGATGTAAAAATCTTCCATAATGTACCAGACCAGCTGTGTCATGAAGGAGGCAAAAAGACCTCCTTTCTATTCTCCTCCTAATACCAGAGAAAACTCCCCAGACTCCATTTTGTACCTCTGTCTTCCATTTTAAATAAGCAAGAGGCACTCCATGATTAAGTGAAAGCTGCAGGTCACACAGACTAAAAATAAAATTGGTGGGAAAACCAAAGTAGGAGAAAGGTCAGCAGATCATAACTATGAGGTAAATAACAATTGCAGGCTAAAAACAGAACTGATAGTTTGAAATGATTGGCAGTTGGCATGCACCCAAGTAGGATCTGACAGGAAGATATTAGCAGAAGTGTCTAGAAAGTTCTGACAGGACAGTATAAAAGTCAGGGTGTCTCAGTAGACAACTGACATGAGGAGGGAAGAGCTGAAGAAGCAGAGACCTGAAAGACAAGCAGAGAAAGCAGCAGCA